TTAGGAATGAGAATACACAATAGCGAATAAGAATTCCTACTAGTCAGGATATCACCATATTTTGCTGAGCCTAAGGGTATTTATTCACAAGCAATGTTCCATCATCTATCTGTGAATTCTCATCACCTATGTGTATGCCAAACACTTGCTCAATGATGAATCATCAAATTATTGGGCCCCCCATGCTTAAAAAACAAAAACCCATTTCCTCAATGTGAAGTTCACTTTACCACCTTCACCCCCAAGTCCCAACCCAACAGGATGTGCTTTCAACACACTATGGGTTTCACCTTCCCCCACCCCATTACTTTGCTAATGGTGTTCTTGGCCTAGAATGCCTTCTCTTCTACTTCCCCTAATGAAATTCTACCAAAACACAAGGCCCAATTCAGATGATACCACCTCTGGGATCCCCATTTGATCTAGACGAAATTAACTATTTCCATTTTGTGCTGTTATGGCATTTTAAGAATATCTATGTTGGTATTTATTACAACTTGAATAAATGTAGTGCTCCTCTTCCTCTCCCCTTCCCTAGATGATGAGTTCCCTAGTACAGGAATAAGCCTATTCTTCTCTCTCCCTCCCATGTACCTTGCACATGGTGGGGACTCTACAAATAGAAATTGACTAAAATGAGAGATCCATTCTCTCTTAAAATAAAAATAATTTGGTTTATAATAGAAAATTAAAAATAAATTTCTCTACAACTCTAAGATAAGTACTTCAACTAGAAAGTTTAATTTAATGGTACTTTCCTATATTAAATATTTACACATTTAAATATTATAGTTATCGGAACTAGTATATTTTAGAATTTCTTTCTATTTAGCAATCCAAAGCAACTTTAAATACCTAGATTAAACCTTTTCTTAAAACAGACCGGTAAAGCTTTCCAATGAATTTAGGAAACACATCCTTGAGCTCTCTAAAACCCTTGCAGTAGGAGGAAATTCTCAGAGGTTTTAGAACAGTGGGCCTAAGAGCTTTGGAAATAGTTCTTAGAAACAATGAGTGTGTGGCTGCTTCCTGATTGCATTTGAGTGACAGGCAAACTGCAGCTGAATGGGGAAGAAAGCGATGCCCTGGAGCTCTGAACTCCAGGAACTCCAGGGCTGTGTGGGTCACTGGAGCCAGAGCCCCTGATTCATTTCTTACAGATCCTGCCACCTACTGACCAAATTATAAATCAAGACCCTGTGAAAGACAAAGAACTTCAGCTATTACAGTAAGATCAATCGATAGTTATTAAGTGGTATTAAAATAAATGGCAGTTGTATATGATGAAAATGTGTTTTGCCTATATTATACTTGTCTGGAATATGCTATGATGATTAATTGTTCCGTTGAATGTCCCTTCAGAAATAAATCTTAGTAAAAGTCATAGTACTTAAAGGTGGCCTGACCTGATTTGTACTCAAATACTCAAAATTAGGAAAGAAATAGAAGCAACACTGCTTAGAAAATTCCAAGACTCGGAGTTAAGAGGAATGGAAACGCAATGTTCTCAGCAATGAGTACATGAAAGCCTTTTTTTTTTAATCCTTACCCAAGGATATTTTTCCATTGATTTTTAGAGAGAATAGAAGTGAGGGGGGAGATAAAGAGAAAGAACAAAGGTGAGAGAGACACATCGATTGGTTGCCTCCACATGCACCCTGACCACAGCTGGTTGATCCAACCTGCAACCAAGGTACATGCCCTTGACTGGAATTGAGTCCAGGACCCTTCAGTCTGTGGGTCGATGCTCTATCCACTGAGCCAAACAGGCTAGGGCACATGAGAGCCTTTATGTGATTTTTGTTTAGTTTTACTTTGGTTTGATTAGATTTTAGCAGTCACAATAAGAATTGCTTCTATTGTAACTGATTGGCTCTACCAAGTGCTGCTCTGAAGAGCAGGAAATTCTCTTGCTGAATTAACAGTTACATTAAATGTCAATAACTAAAACAAAGCACACACACCATGTTAAATGAAAGGTAAGGGGGAATTAATATGTATTGAGTGCCTGCTATGCTAAGCACTGTGCTGGGTGCTTTAAATATATAACCTTATTTAATTCTCACAACACTACTAGGTAAACATTAGTCTACTCATTTTATGGATGACAAAATTCAGTCTCAGAGGTTACAGGCATCACAGCTGGAATGCAAATATGGGTAACTCCATTTCCTCTGTCTTTCCCCACTATGCCTCACTACTTGTAGAAACTCTCCAATGGGTTTTCTAGTTACCTCTATGTTTCAAACTTCATTTTCTTCATTGGTAAAATAAAGAATCACTTCTAAGGTTCATACTAACGCTAAAATTTTATGAAATCTATGATTCTTGTGGGACTCAGTCCAAGTACATCAGTAAGTAAAAGAGCAAGTACTCAATATGAAGTGTGCAAAGAACTGTTAAGAAAAGTTCATGGAAATAAGAAATTAAAATTGCCTATGAGTAGAAGAAAAGCTGCTCAACCTCACTCAAAATTTAAGAAGTAAAAATTATAACATGGATGATTTACCATTTTCACCTCTGCGATGGGAACAGATACTCATATGTTTTAGGTGGCACTACAAATGGACACAAACTCTTTGGAAGACCATTTGGCAATATCCATCAAAATTATATATGTACACAGCATTTTAGACAGGAATTTCACTTCTAGAATTTATCCTTTAGATAGATCCCATGTGCACAAAGATATATGTAAGTAAAAGTTCACTGAAGCATTGCTTGAAATAGCAAAAGACTGGAATTAACCTAAATATCCATTACTAGGGGACTGGTTACATAAATTCAAATGAGCCCAGACCGCAAAATTCTATGCATTATATAAAAAGAACACAGGAAATAAACATAATCTATTATGGAATAATATCCAAGGACAAAAGTGAAAACAGTAGGAAGTAACAAAAAACAAAAAAGGTAAATATTCATATGCTTCTAGAGCAGCGGTTCTCAACCTGTGGGTCACGACCCCTTTGGGGGTCGAACGACCCTTTCACAGGGGTCGCCTAAGACCATCGGAAAACACATATAAAATTACATATTGTTTTTGTGATTGATCACTATGCTTTATGTTCAATTTGTAACAATGAAAATACATCCTGCATATCAGATATTTACATTACGATTCGTAACAGTAGCGAAATTACAGTTATGAAGTAGCAACGAAAATAATTTTATGGTTGGGGGTCACCACAACATGAGGAACTGTATCAAAGGGTCGCAGCATTAGGAAGGCTGAGAACCACTGTTCTAGAGGCATAGACTATTTCTCGTAGGCAATGTGAGAAATTAGTAAGAGTGGTTTTCTCTGGAGAAGAAGCTATAAATCTGGGATTGAAGGATATGTTTACCATGTGTCTTTTCTTTCTTTTTTAAGTATATACATACCTTAATATAAGCATATTTTACTTTTTCAATTTAGAAAAAGTGTTTATAATAAATAGTAGTCTATGGAGTCATTGAAGAACCATTCTAATGTAAGGTCTACTATAGCAAAGAAGAAGGGAAAAAAGACCTAATGAGAGGAATTTTGTAAAATGTCAGAATTCTTCAAAATACTGTAATCCCCCAGATTTCTGTGTGTGCAAACTTCAATTTACAAGGAACAACAAATATAGCACAAGCTATATTAGTTCCAGTATGCAAGATTTGATAGAAGGGCTGAAAGGGAATAATCTCTCTCTCTCTCTCTCTCTCTCTCTCTTCCAAAAGTCATATTTTCTCATGTTGTGACAAATGAATGATAAAGATGCTAATTCTATGGGCATGAGACTATGAAATACATCAATTTCTTAGTTGTAAAGACTCAGACTGAAAAAATCCTCTGTTTAACTAAACCAGTGGTAGGCAAACTCATTAGTCAACAGAGCCAAATATCAACAGTACAACGATTGAAATTTCTTTTGAGAGCCAAATTTTTTAAACTTAAACTATATAGGTAGGTACATTGTTATTAACTTAATTATGGTACTCCTAAGCTGGCCTTTGCTAAAAACGTCCTCAATCTGATTGAGGTACATGCGCTGAGGTCGACCCCTTCCAACTCTCCCATCCTCAACTCTTGCATGAATCGTGCACGCCTCTCCTGCGCTGCGTCTCCTGTCGCCAGACCCACCGACACCCCCCACTTCTTCTAAAGCCACTTTTTCAAAATAGACTCGCCCAGGCCGAAAACTGACTTCTGCGCATGGGCCACGAAGTTTCAATCGCACTGTACATGCGCGCCCGCACGTGGTATTTTGTGGAAGAGCCACACTCAAGGGGCCAAAGAGCCACATGTGGCTCGCGAGCCGCGGTTTGCCGACCACTGAACTAAACTATCAATTATACAATGATAAGTAAAATAGTAAATGTTAATATAAACTATCAAAAATTCAGAAACTACAACATTTACTTATAAGATTGAGAAGCTACCTCTATAGCACCAAAATTATGTGGGACATTCACAAGAGCCTAAGCGTCTAATCATAAACAAGGCACTCTATTATCAAATCAGTAAAAAAAAAACTTACTAGATACCAGACTTTGATATTATTCCACAAAATCTTAGAGAAAGAAACTATAAAATTTCCTAGGAAACCAAATTGATAAGTAGTACAAATGTAAGAGGAAAGACTACTTGAGCACTAGGGTATCAATCTTATTCCAATATCATGAAAACTTTAAGCCACCAGTATTATTGCATTATTTTATCTTACATGGTAAATCAACAAACTCATCTCTGCTTCTCAGTAAAAATGACAACTTTATAATAGAGAGGGAATAACACATTAAACAATAAAAATAAAACTTAGATTTTCAGATGAATAACATTTTATGCAAAATAAAATTAAAAGGCAAAAGAGCTACCTTCTTAGGTTGTTAGGTCCATGCAGTTAATGTATTAATCTACTGATGTTTGACTCTGTCCAGTGTGGAAATATGACACATGTGTTAGTAGAAACTTTAGCAAAGCTACCGATTCAATTTATCAGAATAAAGGATTTATATAAAAAACAATGTACCTTTCATCTGGGTAGCAAAATTCAGTGCCAATTTTGCAAAGAGATCTGGATTTTCAAACTTGTCCTCCTTAACCTTTAACCAGAAACAGTTCTCAGATAATTCTTTGGGTTCAATCTGAAACAAAAATAACAAACACATGTTTCTAAAACATTATATTTAATTTTTCAAGAATTCACTTTCACCACAGTTGAATGATAGTTCCTTTATTCATTTACCTACTAAATCAACTTTAGGACCCATCAAAATAATACTGTTGAAGTAAATATTTATTGGGAAAGGCACAGAATTCCATTAGTAAATAAAAAAGGCACATGATATCAATAGGTCTTATCGCAAATTACATTTAAAAAAATCTTCTACTGAAATAAAAATCTTCTACTGGAAGGAATCTTAAAAATAATTTAGAAAATCCTTCCCCAACTCACATACATTCTTTTTGCTCCTGGATTTTTTAAAATGGGGGAACTGAGATTCAGAAATGTGAAGTCCTCATGTTCACTGATTAAGTTGAAGTCAATAACCATAATAATAGCTGATACATGCCTCCAACCATGTGTCCAGTACTGTTTAAAGTGATTTGCATACATCAACTCATCTAATTCTTTGAGGGGAGACCTATTATTATTTCCATGTGAAAGATGAGGAAACTGAGCTTCAGAGAGCTTAAGTGTCTGCCCAAGGCAGTAAATAGCAAAGATGGGACTTAACACTAGGCAGTACAGCTCCTGGAATTGTGCTCTTAGTTGCTAAACTGAAACCCAAATTAAGAATTGTGCATTTTCCAGGGCATCATGATGCTTCCTGATCCCTAGTACCATTATACTGCATGTTAAATTAACATACCATTACATTTACACACAAAAATAACTGAACCAACAGCTTAGGGATCCTATAGTTTGGTAGATTGTACCTGATTTTTAAAAATCTACTTCCTAAAACCATTTATACATTTAATTTCTGAGCAAAGCATAAGTATATACATAACTTTAAAACTGATTTACCATTATTCTGGTCGAACCAATTTTCTATGTAGATATTGTCAAATATCACTGTATATTTTTAGATGAGTCCTTTCCCCAACTGGTAGTCTGGGTAACTGTATTTTCATTAGAAGATTAGTTCCTAGTGAATGGGGACTGTGCCAATCTCAATAATAAGCTTTTTACAAGACATATTATGTGATAATAATACAGCAAAATATTATGGAAAGGAAAAAACATTCATACATATCAAAAAACAACTGGGTTATTCACTAGTGACTACTGTCACCTATCTCAAACTATCTAAAAACTAAAAAAATAATAATAATCATTCCCTAAGAACAAAAATAACTAAGATATAGAGGATCAATAAAAAAAGAGTGTATTTGCTGTTACAGTATTGAAAGTTAATAATGGTATAAGAATCAAAATTATTTTTCATTTGGTGATATATTTCATATATTACTTTCTATCACTTTCACTTTGATTTTCCCTTTGCCTTCTATGTTAATTTCAAATTATTTGTTCAGTTAAACAGTAAAATTTGTACTAGGAAAGATGAAGATGGTCCTCAAATATGATACAATACTCATACATAGCAATACAGTCACTCACACATTAATGATGAACTATGGCTAGACAGAGCCAAAAAATTCTAGTTGTAGTATTACCTTTGACCAATTGATTCTCTTCATGGACACCTCTGGTTTATATATTTTTTTCTGCTTCATTCCATAAGGCAGATCAATTGGTGCTCCTGGGGGAGGAGGAATTCCTCCAAGGGGAGGTGGTGGAGGAGGTCCCCCAAACAAAGGTGGTGGTGGTGGTGGTGGTATACCTCCTGGCAAAGGAGGAGGAGGAGGGGGGACTCCAACGGGTAGAGGTGGAGGTGGAGGGGGGGGAGGCCCACCGCCTGGCAGTGGAGGTGGTGGAGGAGGGCCTGGAATTCCTGATGCACCTGAGACTCCATGTCCCTGAAACATAAATAACCCAATGTTTAAATACTTGCAGTAAAATATAGCAGCAAAGAAAACGTATCAGGAAACATTTGTGCTTGGCTTAAGATTACATGCACTTTTATTTAACTGAGCAACAACCTAAGGGCTTAACAGCACATGGAAAAGACTTGCATAGATATTTGATAAGCATTATAAACTCTGGACATTGACTACTTTTGCTAACACACTAATGCTAGGAAAGTTGGCATCCTCAAAGATGTTGTGAAACACTCTCCCAAGATAATGAAAAAATTTACCTTTCATTATAACTATATACAAAGAGGAAGTATATTATATGGCAGTGATGGCGAACCTTTTGAGCTCGGCGTGTCAGCATTTTGAAAAACCCTAACTTAACTCTGGTGCTGTGTTACATATAGAAAATTTTTGATATTTGCAACCATAGTAAAACAAAGACTTACATTTTTGATATTTATTTTATATATTTAAATGCCATTTAACAAAGAAAAATCAACCAAAAAAATGAGTTCGCGTGTCACCTCTGACACGGGTGTCATAGGTTCGCCATCACTGTTATATGGCTTGGGCCTGTTAGACTAGTTGGTTTGAACGTGAGATAGTTAATACTTAAAAGCTCATTGATTTGATTTCCTTGGGGCCAACTAGCTTTACACAGTGTCTATCTCAGAGCACCAGTAACTCAGCTGTCTTCTAGTACCAATAATTAATACTAAGTAACATCCTTTTGCATATTAATATTCAGTTATCAATGCTTCTAAACCTATTATTTCTTTTCATTCTTATTATAACCCTGGAATGTAGGTAGGGCATTTTTATTTCATCATTATCTCACTGCTTATAGATGAGCAAACAATAACTGCAAAAATGTTAAATGACTAATCAAAGTCACACAGTATGAAATGTGATTAAGATTGGAATGTGGTTCTTCTCATACCTAATGCAGTCCTCATTCCACAATAGCAGACTGCCTCCTCATGGATGGGTGTCATTGCCATGAGGAAAATTAATTCACGCAGATTACATTATAAGGAGAGTATAGCTTCTTCCTACTACCAGAAAATAACTTCAAACTCATTCGCTAACATGAAGGATGACAGATGAAAGAGAACATAGCATTCCATATTGTCTGCTTTGATGATTAATTTGTATCTGATTCTTTAAACAATTACTGATCACAATGGTTCACTTTCTAAAATAAATGGATATAGAAGGGAAGTTGTTCATTATAAACATTCCTAAGAAACTCCTATCAATTAACAGACATCTTTAGTAATCAAGGTATGACATTAGATTAACTGAATAAAAGGTTTAAAACTAGTGAAATTTCTTGGTATAGTGATAATTTTACTTGGAGAGCAAGATTTCTTATCTTCATTAATAATATGAATTTCCTACTTGGACTCCCTAATTGTGCTAATTAAACTTAGAAATATCTTTACAAAATAAATATGTTGATGCATATTTTTGGAATAATCAACTTAAAGGACTGATCTATTTATAAGATTGTAAATTAACAATCATGGGTAGATAGGATCACGAAAATGTTTCTCATATTATTCGATGTGCATTGTCCATATGTTTTATTCACATATATGAATCTTTATGTGTGTATCTACATATATACAATCAAGGTGTTCATACACCTAACAAATGATAATCCTGTAGTGATATGCAATATTCCCCAGAGATTAGGAAAAATTAAAGGTAGAATTACATATTTAATATTCTTTTAATTTTGTTTTTAATACGGCAAAATTATGGAAAACAGCCTGATGTTTACAATCTTAATGGAGATCAAAGAAATACTGGAGAAAATTAAAATAATGTTTCTGAAAAATTTGGGGAATTAGTAAATTACCCTACAAATTGTGCATAAATTGATTTGTTAAATAATTTGAAAGGTAAAATGTGTATCCCATTTTTATATCGAAACAGCAAAATTAAAGTAATACATATTTATAAATATAAAATTTTGCCTCTATTAGGTCATATTTATGATATAAAATGTGAGCAGCCACAACAATTTTAAAATGGGATTTTACTCAGGTTAAATACATGTTTTTCAAATTTAATAAAAAAATCTCAAATGTTTATATTAAATGCCACCAGCCTTTAAACATCAAATCATATCAGCCCTTTTATTCCCTCCAATGAACAATTAAGAATGGAACAATTAAATTAGGCTACAATAGAGTATTGAGAATTAAATATTACCAATGAATCATATTTGACACAATTTTAGGTGCACTAGAAAGCATTGTGTGACTCTGCACTTTTACAGATTAGTTCATTTAATAAATCAGCTCACTACTCACTAAATGGTAAGGCCTTGTGCCAGGTGCAGTAGGGCCTTGAATAAGAATAATAAGACACTGTCCTCAAGGTGTTTATGCTCCAGGGGAAGAAACAAAACAGGCATGCAAACAAATACAGCATGAGTGGTCTACAAAGGTGATACAGAAGTCCACAGAAATTCCTTAATGGAGTTTTTGGTGAAGCTTTCCAAAGGATATTTTACTGAGCTTATCCTTAAAGAATATGTTTTGCAGGCACAGATGAACAAGGGAGAGCATTTCTGGCAGAGAATCATTAAAATCGGCATTTCTTGACTAAGTTTCATAAAAACACTATTTTCCAGAGATGTTAATAGGTGGTCTGAGATAAAGGGTTCTATGCTTGAATGAGTTTGGGAAAGCTCTATGCAAAAGAAGTGGACAGGTTTCTTCAATGTAGGACATCTCAGACCCTTTAATATGCTAATGAGTATTCTGACTCTCCAAGAGGAGAATTTCAAGTGTACCAAATTTATTGGACTATGGCATGCTTTCCTCATGAAAAACATATTAGCATCTCTGTAACTAATGTCTGGGAAATGCTGGCAGAAGGAAGTGTGGAGACAGTAAATTCTAAATGTGAAGGGAGGAAAGGTGACTTAGCTGCAACAGAGGCTGTAGTTAGGGGAGCAGTCAGACTGGCTGCAAAGGGGAGATAAGGAAGCCCATGATAGAAGGCCTTCACATTCCTGGTAAGGAGATTTTTATTTAATCCTGAATGCAACAGGCAGCCATTGGACATATTAAAGCCAGAGTGACAATAATCAGGGCAGTGTTTTAGGAAGATTAATTTGCCACTGACAAAAAGGATGCATCTGAGGAGGAAGAGACTATAGGCAGGGAGGAAAGTTAAGAAACAATTGTAGTATTCAGGCAGGAAGTAATGAGAGTGACCCTGAGTGATTCTGGGTTTTGATGCAAGTGAAAAGAGTTGGAGAAAGAACTGACATAAAACAGTGGCCAGCTTAATTTGTCAGGGAAAAGGCACCCCCCGCCCCTGGCTTCATGATCAAAACAACTTGTGGTAAAATTTAAACAAGTGAGAATGGAGATCAAGCTGGTTTGAGAAAATAGAGGTGACCACAGATAATGGGTTTGATTTCAACATCCATGTGGAAAGGTAATCAAGAGCTGGAAATATAAGACAAACTCAGGAGATCTGACACCTACTAAAAGGTGATATTTGAATTATAATATTGAATGGATATTACTTTAAGGACATACAGAGGAAAAAAGAGCAGAGACATTGGTGAATGTCACCATTTGGTAGTCAAAAACAGAAATAAGCCTTAACCGGTTTGGCTCAGTGGCTAGAGCATCAGCCTGCGGAATCAAGGGTCCCAGGTTCGATTCCGGTCAAGGGCATGTACCTTGGTTGTGGGCATATCCCCAGTAGAGAGTGTGCAGGAGGCAGCTGATCGATGTTTCTCTCTCAACGATGTTTCTAACTCTCTATCCCTCTCCCTTCCTCTCTGTAAAAAATCAATAAAATATATTTAATAAAAAAAACAGAAATAAAAACTGAGTTCTCAGAGATGTAAAAAGAGAGGTCAGATGATAGCAAAAAAGAGAAAAATATTCATAAAAAGAAATGAAATGAATGAAACAGGCTAAGGGAAGGAAAAGGCTACTGCAATGGGTAACTGGAAGTTCTTGGGTGACTTTGAAGTCATTTTTCAGTAGACTGATGGCAACAGAATTAATCAATCAACCAATACCTCAGCATCCACAATGTTAAGAAATTATCTTACATTTTTTATATACACTGAAAACATAAAATGTGTTGAGAGTACTTAATCAGTTCTTAAGTTTAGACAGTATAATTAAGATTTTAAGTGTATATGGAATCTTTTCATCATAGGAAATGTAAGTGCAAATGCAAAATTTATAAGTTTTGAAATGATGGTATTCGAGATTTAAAGAGATCACAAAAAGTTTTGGGGATAATTAAAATTAAGGAGCATTTTCATGTTACTTTTAAAAGAAAAGAGTATGCACCTAATTTTTCAAATCATGATGAAAATTTCATCTCAGAGACAGTTTTGCTTGTATAATATATTCCATTAAGGATATTCAGGGCAGATCAAGTGACTAATGCCTTATTGTTATCCAAACATTAAAATGATTTATTGTCCTAGAAAATCAAATCTGTAGTTATTTCAACGAAAATGTGAAACTGCCAAAAGTCTGCTTCTGGTCGTATTTTTCCTTCATCTAACAAGATAATTTCTACCATAAACCTCACTGTGACATGACACAAAGTCTATATCTTGTTTCATTACCTGGGTTCGAAGTTGCTGGATTTCTGTTTCAAGCTCCTTGATTTTTTCTTCTCTTTTCTGAAGCTCAGCTTGTGCTTCCTGCCGAGCTGTGAATTCTTCATCAAACTGCAATGATCACCACCATAAATGTACACTTCATAATACAGTTATGAGAAAGTTTTAAACAACATTAGGTATTAAGTAAGTGGGGTGTCTCTTGCTTCGCTGAATTCCTAGGTCACTAAAAAAGTCAGAGCTCCATTATTTTCATGACAATTAAGTGGGGGTGGAATATTGCTGTGGTAGTAGTAAAGAAGAAATATGCCCCCAACCCAAGAAAAACAAACCCCATTTTCACTTCTGGAAAAAAAAAAACATCCCTGCTGGTGTGGCTCAATGGCTGACCCAGGAACCAAGAGGTCACCGGTTCAATTTCTGGTCAGGCCACATGCCTGGGTTGTGGGCTCAATCCCCAGTGGGGGTGCATGTAGGAGGCAGCCAATCGATGATGCTCCTTTTTCATCGATTTTTCTCTCTCTCCCTCTCCCTTCCTCTCTCCCTAAAAATCAATTAAAAATACAAAACACAGTTTTAAAAAGGTGAACTGAGAAGTCTCTCTTCATATGTAATGGATCTTTCTTTTCTGTTATTGAAAGTTAGGTTTTAGAATTATTCTTGTTTTTTAATGTTTCATCCCATACTTTCAAATTTATTCAATTAGAGAAATGAAACCTAAAAATTAGCCATCAAGCAGTTCAACTCCTTAATTATATTTAACCTTGAAAAGAGATCGCACCTTTTAGAACACTCAAATGGATGTGCATTAATACAAATGAGAATATTTCTATTACAATCTTAGTTGTCTAGCATCCAAAACGTAGTGCTCCTTGAAATCTGACAGTAGAGTGATATATGCCATAATGGCATTCTCCTCTACGTGGTTAACCAAAACACTTGTCTAAATGTTACAAGAGGGGAAATAAGAGGTTAATGTGTGCTAAGCCAAAGAGACCATCTGAATGGTGAGTTCCCATTTACTGCATCCTGCCCAGCTCACACCCCAGTCAGGGCTGTAAGCAGGCCCAAACAAGCCTGCATACTTGGAGTGAATACTGCTTATACCCAGCTATAGAACATTTGCCCTTTATTGTCAGTATCACTTCCAGTCACTTCTAGAAGTCTATACATTATTCCAATGATCTTATTTCTGTTTTGATCTTTTACTGTATAAAATTGTCTTTAGAGATTGTAAAACATAAAAAGTATGTTCACTACACTAAGACATATTCATCCTCACAGATTTGACCTTTGGAAGTTATAAAATGCCACTCAGATCCCAGTCTGAAGAAAGAGTGGGTGAGCAAATTGGATAATCACAGTGTTTTGGTCAAACCTGAAATACTACTTAGTTAACTCATTTATTCATGTCTACTTGAGTCCTAGGAAAATGTCCCACAGAGGTTGGTCCAAAGTCTTTCTAATAACTTCAAATTTCAAACCCACCCCAGATCCTTCAGTCAGCAAATGACCTTGTTTCCTAGTTCACATAGAAGATACTTCACTACTATCCCTATTGAAGAGGGTAAAGGGGCGGGAATAAATGGTGATGGAAGGAGACTTGACTTGGGGTGGTGAACACACAATACAACACACAAATGATGTGTTATGGAACTGCACACTAGAAACCTGTATAATTTTATTAACCAATGTTACCTCAATCTAAAAAAAGATTTATCTGATTCTATACTCCCATCCGCCTCCCAAAGTTAGCTTCTCCTGTGTGCTTGTCAAGCGTGGTGTCTACATAAGAACACTGTATAGTTTTCCTCTACAAATGGTTTGTTTGTTAGTACTTTTGAAGAGAGGCACACAGTGTTTCTGCCGGAAATGATCTTAATCTGTAAACTCACAGAAGGAATCAGAGAAGTCTGAGATGTGTGAGCTGGGAGACTTCTTATAAATCCACTAAATGTATCCACTCCTTTTAATGACAAAGAAACTATGATCCAAGGAGAGTAAGTGGCTTACCTAAAGTCACAGCTAATTAGTGGCAAAGCTGAGATCAGATCTTATAACTACTGCTTTTCATTCTAGTGCCCCTCATTGTCTCTCTTTTTTTAACTGCTTTATACTGCCTCTTAAAATCACCTAGAATAAGAGAAAGCATGCAGACAATCCCTGGAAAATTATATATGTTTCTTCTAAATGTTGGTGATGAGAATAAAGCACCAAACACTGAAATTTCTTTTTTATTATTTCAGGACTCCTTTTCCCATAACATATGCTTACAGAAAATTTTTACTGGATAGATTGTCACAATTTGCTCCAGTCTTGTGGTCTCTAATCACAGTTCCAGGGAAAAATTAAGGAGATTCTAAGATTTTTCAGAGGGAATTTTAAATGTGCTACTTAAAACAAGAACATTAGAAATATAAATGTCTATTAATCAAAAGCATACATTTTCTTTCACCAATAAAAATGACATCTTCACACAAACATTTTATGCTCAAGCTCTTAAAAATCTATTCTAGTAACTGAAAGAGCAAAGACATTTCTTCAGATGCCCTGAAGTAACTTCAGTAATACTCTATAGTTTCTAGAGTGATAGCAAAAGTGATTATCTAATCTCCAAGGTAAGACATAACTTTGAAGAGACAGCAATATGTAAGCACTTTATCTTGCTGGCAGAGGCTGAAAACTGGAGAGCCTTTAGACTTGTGCTTCAGTCCCTGGCCCTGCCACCAGAAGCAGAGAAATACCATCCTAACACTTCATAGGGTCTAGATAGAACAACAACAAAAAAATGCAACCTTTGGTACAGGCTAATAAAATTGTAACTATGCTTTCAGAAAACAAGGAAAAGACAATCTAAGATCTAAATGAAATTAAAATATTTAAAAAGCTGACATTTACATAAGGGGAACCTCAGATTACACCAAGACTGCATGAAGCAGCAGCATCATTTAAAAATGATTATTATAAAATTCAAAGAAAGTAAGTCTAAGCAGCGAGAAACCCATACACAGAGAGAAAACACTGCATCATTCTGTTGCTATTAATAGCAATGACTTTAGAGTATAACAGATAAGACTAGCTAAACATCTTACAGTTCTCCAAGGAGACACCTATTGTAAGTGAGAGCTGCAGGAAAGCAATGGAGAAATACATTTTGGTTGATCGCTTTTAACTATAACCTTCATTTATCACTTTAGTAGACTAGGGCTAGTGTTTTTCTTCCATAATGGATTAAAGGTGATGAGGAGGAAACAGTAGCAACCTTATCTTATCATGAAAGAAATCAATATCCTCTAGTTATGTTTGAATCCAGAAACAAAGTACTACATAACTGAAACGACATTTATAAAGCCTCACATAAAGGAATGAGGTGGAATATATACTGTGATTAAATTATTAATTTAATAATTATGGCTAATATTTCATAAGACTTACCTTCTTTGAAAATTCCGCAGCTTTTTGTTCACTTTCTTCAACTTTTGCCTTGTTCACACAAGAATCTATTAAAATTAACCAAAAAAACTATTAGAAATTATTGCATCAGATCTCTAGGCAAAATATGGCTGCCAGCCTGTAACTCTACTGTGTAGACAATCATCTATATGCCAATTGCTGTTAAAGAGAAATTGACCTAGACCACAGAAAATGTAAACCATCATAAATTGCCTTTCTTTTGCATACTAACTGAATTCAATGATAGTATCGTTGAGGCACAAAACCAAGCATCCAAATATATATTTGACTAAATTATCATTGTTTTAAAGGTATTTAATTATTTTGCAACTTTCACAATTATAGAATTCTTTAAAAATTGTTTTGTAGTTTATTATGGGTAGCTAGGTCCCAAAAAATCTATGCTTAAGATTATTAAAACTCAAAATGGTCCTTAAAATAAGGCTAGAGGTAGAGATACAAGAGCATTCATTAATTCAGGTTTCCTAAAGAAAGACTTCATTTAAGTAAATTCTAATGGGGGCAGAATATATTATGTAAATAAGGAAATAAACATTTAACTTCTCACATCTAATCAAACACTTCAGAATATAAATAAGTGAAGAACTTCTTTTGGACAATATTATTATTATTATACATACAGTCTCTTCTGTACTTAGCCATGCCACACCTATTTATTTATCCCCAAGAAATAAAAACATATGTCTATACCCAGACTTGCATATGAATGTCATAGCAGTTTTAACTTTCTGGGGTGATAGACATGTTATTATCTTGACTGTGATAGTGGTGTTAAATATAACTAAATATCAAAATTTTATCAAATCGCATACTTTAAAGTTGGGTAGTTTTTCTCATGTCCAGAATACCTCAATATAGCTTTTCTTTTTCTTTTTCTTTTTATTTATTAAAGAACAGTATGGCTGGAGCAAGGCAACTAAGAAGAAAATTGGTAAATGAAGAGATCAAAGAGGGGCCAGACCTGTGTTGTGCTGGCAATGATTGGTAATAATCTTGATTTAAATCTCAATCGGAAGGTATCAGAAATTAGGCAGGAATAGGATATGATTTATAAAAAAAATACAAGACTTACAAAATTATGAAATCAGAAGAGACTCTATTCTCCTTAAGTCCAGGTGATCTTAAAACAGAGATCCATAAATTTCCTATAAGTTCTTTAAGCACCTGAAACTTTATGTGAATGCACATGTGCATGTGTGTGTGCGGACACGCATGTCTGTGTGTGTACACGTTCTAATGAAAGTTCCACAGCATTCATCAGCTACTGCAATAGGCTTCTGACCATAAAATATTAATAAGCACACATATATTTGACTTATATGAATTTGGAGGTTGAGGAAACTGAAGCCTAGAGAAGTTCAGTAAATTGTTCCAGTAATAACGAGTCTATGATGCTGACTATCCTCTCTCACTTGGTCCCTTCATCTCTCCTCGCCCCAGTACTTTTGGTTAACAGTACACAATTATAAATACCTGGCATACAGAACACAAAACAAATGTCTGTGAACACTGAATGAGCTAGCCAAACTCAATAGCAGAGTATGTGTGCCAATTATAGTCTATAAGAGATTACAAGCCAATACAAATATTTAGAAATGGTCCCTTATAATTTTCTAAACAAAATATGAAATAAATTACTGAGTTTATCAAACAAAATGAAAAATATGTAATGACACCAGCATTCACATTAATTGCTGGGCAAGGTAAAAAGCATTTTGTCTTAAAAATTCATACCCTCGCTTACAAAAATCAATCCTAAGAAAATAATGAGAAAAATCCAAACATTTATACAAAGAATGTTCACACAAGATTCAGTTTTAATTGTGAAAACCTGTAAATAATCTAGATGTACAATAAGAAGGAACTAATCAATATGATATGGCATTCCATAAAATGGAATGTTATAGAGACATTCGAAGTCCCATTTTAAAGGTTAGCATAAAAAAATTATTGTAATACAAATGCTCCATGAACATCCCAGAGAGAGAGAGAGAGAGAGAGAGAGAGAGAAAATGTATTGAGCTGAGAAGTGAGGTTGGTGTTTTATTCCATTACATAAGTCTCTAGATTGCCTAGAATAAGGGAGCAGGAGTTTTAATACCAGCAAAGAATAGCCATGGCTGTATAGAGCATCTTTCCAATACACCAAGGTTTTGGGTTCAATATCCAGTCACTGCACATACCAGAAACAACTATATAGATAAGTGGGACAACAAAGTCAAGGTTTCTCTCTCTCTATTTCCCTCCCTCCCCCCCTCTTTCTTTCCCTCTCTCTGTCTCACTCCCTCCCTTCCTCTCTCTTCCAATAATTTTTTAAAGATATATCCTACATAATAAAAGCCTAATATGCTAAGTGTCCAACTGTTCAATCATTTGACCAATCCATATGATGTGCACTGACCACCAGGGGGCAGACGCTCTGACCGGTAGGTTAGCTTGCTGCTGGGGTCAGGCCAATCGGGACTGGATGAGACAGGCCAGACACGGTCCCTCCCCGGCCCTGATCATGCACCAGTGGGGTCCCTCAGCTTGGCCTATGCCCTCTCGCAATCCAAGACCCCTTGGGGGATGTCAGAGAGCCAGTTTCTGCCCAATCCCTGCAGGCCAGGCCAAGGGACTCTACCAGTGTACGAACTGGTTTCGGCTCGATCCCCGCAGGCCAAGCCGAGGGACCCCACTGGTGCACAAATCCGTGCACTGGGCCTCTAGTGATAAATAATAATAAAGAATTCATCTCTGAGTATTACTGTGAGTCTTCTCTGTGCTATGGCGCGAAGAATATATAATTGGCATTCAACAGCTGTTTTTTTTCTTCTTTTATAGACAAGACAAATGAATTCATGCTTGAATCTTAGCAATAGTGATTTTGACTAGGTATAAATAAAACTGCTTAACTGTAAGGTCAGATAGCACAGCATATTTCACAAGAGAGGTTTCACATCATCCAGAGATTGTTCCAGAAAGTATAGCTAATTACGAGTATAGGATGATATAAGGGCATTTCCTCAGCAATCCAAGTGGATGAACACGAACTTCTGAAATTATTTTTTAGCTCAAAGTCTATGAAATATAATTGTTCTACTTTGATAGAATTAAAAGGTCTTAAGCTACTAAATAACCTTGTGTTTCTTTCCTCAAACTTGAACATAAATAGCATAGCTATATTATTAATTAGACCCTATTGTACATATGATTTCTATAAAACCATTAAGGTATCAGTATAAACCGAATCAAATGATTTCAGAGTCATGTTTCTAAACAGCAACGCATTTATGTATAATAATACATTGTATTTTTGTGGGGTATTAATTTTAATCTGAATTCAAGAGAGTTGAAACCTGTGAAATAGGTTCATATTTTCAGTCACACAGGCAGAACTCTCATGATCATAATAATTAACAGTTATAGTGATTGAATACCCATAGACACAATGACTTATCAGATATTAATAAAGGAAGTTCAGTAAGAGATATACTTTTAAAAAGTCCTTATTAAACAGAAGAGAGTATAACACAATCAAAGGACATTGAGGATTATATTACATACCTATCAGATGAGTTAAGTCAATGTCTAATCTTTGTCTATACTTGAAATCTGGGTCCATACCACTGCAGTGCAGCACTATCTGTGAAACACACTCCTCAATTATTTTGTAATACTGTGGCCTGAAAAAAAGAGAAAGTATTCTTAAATACGTTTTCTACCTACACAAATCAATATTCTTAAGAGTTGACTCACTGTGATAAAATAACCATGTCTTTCTCTAGCACTGTTTTTTAAAAAAATATCTTTCCAGTCATTAGACTCCTTTAGAAGAAATATGCCTACATTTAATGACGGTCTGGATGTTATAGTGCAAAACCCATTGTGAAATAATCAACTGTGAACACTTAATGACTTAATACTCTAGTTTGCAGGGGTCCATGCCTGTGTACAAAGATACTTATCAACCTTATGTACTTAAACTTAAGCTGTTGTTCCTAACGTTAATGAAAACAAATGACCGGTTAGTCCCACATCCATGGAAATAGTCCTAGGCCTCTACATGTTCTCAATTTCAATAAGGGATGGGTATCTTGGCATTCGGTGGCAAGCAATGTCTTGAATTTACTCCAATACTTTTACTCAAGATTAGCTGTAATAGCTTACAAAACTGGACTGAGCCACTTATGCTACAGACTATTTCAAAGATCTACTTATGCACATATTTTAAAAGATCCATTTTATAGTCGCATACACACTTAATATGCATGGCTAGAGACTCAATTTGTTCAAAGTGTCTAAAAACATATCCTAATTCTGTAATCTACCAAGGTAATTCTGATCTTAAAAATGACCACTTGCATACTTCAAAATTTTTAAAGGCACTTTTTACATTAGTATTTGGGGAAAAGTGATTATTGATCAGTGGTAGATAAATTCAACAGAGAAAAATCAGAAAGAGATACTACTATATACAAATTAAATAAACATCCCTAAAATTGTGTGCTAATAACTAGCCAACCTACTAAAAGTTTGTCAATGAAGCCAGATTCAAATTATTCTTACATGTCCTTTGTCATAGGGCTAGAATCAAGAATAAAAATAAATAGTAATATACAGGGACAGGCAAAAGTAGGTTTACAGTTGTAATATAAATAATAATACAAGAATAAACTTTCACATACTCACAACTGTAAACGTACTTTTGCCCACCCTGTATATTACAGATCTGAGGTTCTTTCAAGTCATCATAAGGCCTAGGTTAATTGATATCAGATTATAGTCAGTCTAGTCAATGACTCTTTGGGTAAATAAGGAAAACACAATTGTTCTCTTTGAGAACAGGCTAATTATCTCTAAGTAGTATATAAGTGCTCACAATTCTACCTCACATGGATGTTCTCGGGATGAAAAGGATGTCATATTATAGCAAGTTCTCATTTCATCAGTTACTGAGAAATGGATGGCTTTGCACAATTTCCCCAGGTAACTGTGTCACACAGCCACAGTATCCCTTTAATCACCAGAACTTATTTTACGAAACAACAATCATTCCAAGTGTATTACTATCATTCCTATTTTTAAAAAAAAACACATAAAATTTAATATTTTAAACATTTGTCTATGTCTCTGTAACATCATGATGTCCATCAGTTATTGTACTGGTCTGCACTATAATAGTTTTCTATGTGGCTTTAGAACTGTCATTTTTGTTGCAATTATACCTGGCCCCATAGTAGCCTTCCTTTCTGCACTAATCAAGCAAGTTTTGAGAAATCAGAAAGCCTAGGTTGCCAGAATGTCATGCATATTGACAATGAAGAACAACTAAGAGTCTCTGAAGCAGTTAAATATAAGATGATGGTCATCACCTGATGGATAGTTTCAGTCACTCAGAAACCTTTCTGGCTTTCAAATATATTCCTAGTTATTAGACTATAAAATTTATAACCTTATAATCATAATCATTTACTTTGAAGAATTATATTAGTGAATATAAAGCTGAAATTTAGCATTATTTTCTTAGATAATAACACATCTATTACTAGAAAAATACTATAAACTAGTAATAATAGTAAAACCTTACATATTAAAAATAAGAACTTAAAAGTTCTACCATAGATTCTATAGTGTTGACTCTGTGTTACAATCATCTAGCAAAGAAAATTCATCATAGGGTCAACAAAATCTTTGGATTCATTGCTATTAAAAGTCCTGTCACTTGGGTACCCCATTTTTATAAATAAATTATTCTGCCCCCCCCAAAAAAATAAAAAGAAATTAATACCACTTAAAAAATGTTACCTTAAGTCATCGAGCTCTTACACTTTCTGGATGCATACATGCATAGACTACCTAGGCCCACTACATTGTTAATTTTCCTTTAGATCTAATTTAAGTTATACAGGTAGTACTTTGAGAACTGCTTCTTACCTGATATAATAATCATTTCTGATAAGCAAAAAATGTTGTAGAATGGATAATAAGTAATTCTCAGCAGCTGTGTCCTTCAACAAATTATACAGAAGATGGTATACTTCATTCATATCAGTGAAAAGTAAGTCAAGGAAAAAAAATATTTTTCATGAAACTTAAATTCATTGATGTATCATTTTGTTTTTATTACTGTTTCTAAACTTTCAATTCTATGCTCCTGTATTGCAATGTTTATATAAAAAAATATAATCTATGGAATCATGTTAATATTTTCACAAGAGAGGTAGACTTAAAGAGTATTTCTAAGAACATTTAACCATCAAAACCTTAAGTGATCAGTTACCCATTATATTTTAAACTCCAGATTAAAGCTGGTACTGTTGGAATAGCAATGCCATTAATGGAAATGGTTTTCTCTTGAGCTTTCTGTAGTTGTGATAGAGGGAGGGCCTATATTATATTGTTCACGAAAGCCACTACTCCTCTATGTTTACTGTGACATAAGATAGAAAGATAAACTAACATTCTGTGGATTGATAAAAGATCACAAAACCAGTTTTTTTATACAGATGAAATACTTAATGAAATCCGAAATTATTATTATTTGCATTCCTTTGTATTTCATTATGTAATACAGCATGGATAATAAAGAATGAAACTTGGAACATTTTTCTTAGGAAATAAAATGAATGGTTGAAGTTCAAGTGCTTTTAATAAACTAGAAAACATATTTCAAAAATGCATCAGGAAAATCAATACAATAGAAAGGTAGGAGAGGAGATGTAATCCAACATCCTAAAAATAACCTGAAATGTCAACATTTTCAGTGAAGTAGAATTAAGTGTATGCTAGATCACTCCTTAGACTCCATGTAAGAGTACTGTGTTAAAGTCTTATAAGGTCCTTTAAGTGATTACAAAATGGATCAAAAAATAGCTTTCTGGTGAAGTTTGATTATAAGAAAAATCTATATAAAGCAAGAAAGCAATATATTTACTAGCTGACATAAAAACATTTAATATTATGGAAATGCTGTAGACTAGAGACACTAATGACAGATTAAAAATTATGAGAAATTATCTCCTATAATAATAAAATTGTTATTTGCTGCATACCTGTTCATCCAGTACTTATGGGTAAGACACTTCAATAGGAGCACTGGAGGAAAAAGATGAAATACAACATTTCTGACCTCAATCTCAAGGGGCATGGAAGTGTACATAAATAAGACAGATACAAACAAAGTATTCTGGGAGTTTCAAGAAGAGGAATACTACTTCCAGTTATTTTGAGGGGAGAGGAGGAAGAGGAAAGAAGACATCACAGAGAAAAAGTCTAGCTCAAGGTCATTTTGGTGCTGAAGTATGTCCCAATTTCCCTAGGATCCATAAGGAAGGACATGAATGGGTGTGAAACAAATGGCAACCAATGCTGTGACAACCATCTTTAAAATATAAAATCATTTCATATTAAATCAATGCCATAGCAAGGTTTTACACCAGTTGTATTTGACTCGAATGTTTCCATCACACAGCCTTACTATAGTCAGATACTATTACATCTAAACATTTCTTTGTTTTGCTAAGGAATCAAAATATTTGGAGAATAGGACATTGATTTGAATTGAATTTTATCTCTAAACCACTGAGTACCATTTAATAAACTGAAAAAGTATATTACATATAGCCACATATGAACTCAGTGAGTCCCCCACTAAATTTTTATGCATGAGGTATATTTCCTTAGGCTCTTTCTTTTCAAGACCATGGAGCAGAATATACCGCCACTGTGCAGATTTCAATATAACCTGTGTAAATCATCCGGACAGTCAGGCAGTTCCTCCACATGAGTCTCCAGGACAGCATCACAGTGAGGTTCTAATATAAATAAATGGATGTAAATTGGGCTTGCAGATAAGAATTCTAATAATGATTCACAATATCACATACACATCCTTTTTTCACAATACATGCAAAATGATTTTTCTGGCTTGTCAAAAGGATATTCCATTTCTGCTCGAATGTCGTTGAGACGATGTGATAACTCAGTTAGGTCGTCCTCTTTGTTTTCATCGAATACTCTCAACTGAATATCAAGCTCATCATTCTCTTTTTCTTTCAGATCCTAACATTTAAACATAAAACTTAACAGATGAATAACAGTTTGACAACAGCATATTTTGGTAATAAAGGCCAGACACTATTATTCAATTATATACACAGAAGCAATTCAAATATTGACCCACGCACTTGGTTTCCTGAAAGAAAGTAAAATGTGCTTCGTTTTTCTATTTTAAAATAAAAGAACCTCATTGCATTCATTGCATTTTCTTTTCATGCCCCAGATTTTGATTATTCACATTAAAAAATTAACAATCACTTTTACAAAGGGAAAAAAAATAATTGCTAACAACCCAAATTAAATGCTGTCGTTTTGACTAAACACACTAATCAAAGATGGCAAAAGAACTCATGCAGTTAGAACATTCGCATATGCCTCTGGCAAAAATGCAAATATAGATCAACTGTATTAATAAAGAACAAATACGAGGATATACTCAAGCACAACAGTCCCAAGTATGGCGTGAAAAGTGAAATAAACAGGTTTATTTTAAATGATATTTTGTGATTTGAAGCAAAAAGGTCTTTTTATCAGGACTTTTTATCAGGCTGCTTATCTAGCCTCCTCCCCCACCTTTCATTTTTGCTAGCCTAATCACAAAATATCAACTTGGGCATCAAAGATCTGTTTTTGTAATACATTATAAGCACATGCATTACACACCTCTGATAATTTTCAAAATAATAATATAAATGAAATCTTTGGAAGCATGCCACACTAGAGATTGTTGGGCTTAATATATATCACCTGGCATAGCTTTTAATATGTGTCCATTAAGTTGCAGCTTTCAAAACCCAAATGGATAATCACAACTGTGGATGCTCAAGAGTGATACCAAAAGTGGGACTAGGATTTTCAGAGCTGAGCTTGAACTCTGAAAGGAAATGTAAGCATGGTGTACTTCAAATTAGGTCACTAAAACAAAATAGGATGCATTTCTTGTTTCTATTTTTATTCAATAGAACAATTATAAATGGAGATGTGACGGCAAGTACTGAAGCCAAACACAAATTTATGCAATTTCTAGATGTATTTTTCTAACATCCTTAAACATAATAATCAACTGAAAATTTACCTAAATAGCATATAAAATACTTATTAATATATATCTATATAATTTCATATACATATATAACAAATAAATGTATTTATACTAGTTTCCTCTTTAGTAATAACTTGCTTTAGGTCTTGTTTTCCACTTTGAAGGGGAATGAAGTCATTTACTGGAATGCAAAATTGTAAAATTGGTGGGTCATATTAACAGGTGATTTCTGAACTCTGTTCAGAAAACAGCAGAAGCCAGACACACTCAATATGCTGGTCACTGCAGAAACAACCTTTAACACATTTTAGAATATAAACCCTTCATTATTCTTATGTCACATTCCAGTTTTTCTTAGATGTTCACTATAAAACTTGAACATATTCAAATATGTTTGAAAATTTCAAGTTAAATACTGTCATTTAATTAGCATCAGAACTTTATAAAACATGGAATCAATATGCATGATTAAATATTTTCAATAAATAACCAATGTCACTCCAATAAATTTAATTAAAAATAAATAAGATAAAAATATTTTCAGTAAAAATAACTGGTGAAATACTTTAATTTAGTTTTAAATTAGAACAATACATTATTTATATAATATATATAGTATGTGAACATATACAGCACAATATACAAATATGAACATGTACAAATGCAATACCTTATGTTGTTTAGTAATAATGTCCCATTAAAATAAATATATATTCACACACACACACAGTGTCCCCAAAAAATGTATGCACATTTTAATAGCTGATAACTCACTTAATTTTTACTCCTTTTAGGTTTAACTTATTTAAAATAATGGGTGAAGCCAGTAAGAAAATTTATCAAAAAGTGACATTAGACTGTTTTTATATAGAGATACATAAAAGATAGTTTACAGAACAAAACCGGCAACAGTCAACAAATTGAGGGCACACAAATACCGAACGAAATGATTCTTGATGTTTGCGATTCCAATGCTTCCTGTTATTTATCAGCAGTGCCTGGACCAGAATGGCCATCAGTTTGAGAACAGGCATTGACAAAATACTATTCATTTCTGTAGATTCTTTTAAAATTTGAAAACGAACTGTATGTTAATAAACACTGACTTTATAATCATTCAAAGTGGGTATGCATATTTTTGGGACACCCTGTATATAACTTCCTTTTAGTCAAATATCCAACCTTATGAAAGATATATCCATAAATAATGATAAAAATAATCACTTAATAAATTAATAATATTTTTACATATCACAATTGTTACAGATATCCTATAAAAGTAAATGAAAATGCATAACTAGTTTTATGTTTAAAAATGTAAAATGTCAGATGATGTGTTATAGAATTATACACATGAAACCAGTATAATTTTGTTAACCAGTGTCCCTCAATAAATTAAATTTAAAAAATTATTTTAATGTATATTATAAAATTACTGAATTACACTATTACTAATTATGTGAAATATTGTAAACATGTTTCAGTTATTTTTTTTAAACAGACTAGGTGTATAGATATGGACCACTTTAGGCAGATTCTCTGAAACATATAATTCTCTATAATATAGTATACTTCTGCCCAGTCGGTATGGCTCAATGGTTGAGCGTCAACCTATGAACCAGGAGGTCTCAGTTCAATTCCTGGTCAGGGCACAAGCCTGGGTTGTGCGCTCCATCCCCAGTGTGGGGCACACAGGAGGCAGCAGATAGATGGTTCTCTCTTATCATTGCTGTTTCTCTCTCTCTCTCACTCTCCCTTCCTTTCGGAAATCAAAAGGGGGTTAATGGGATGAGGACACATTTGTAATACCTTAACCAATAAAGAAATTTAAAAAAAAACAAAAAATATATGTAAATACTGGAATGCAAGAGAATAAGGATTCTTCAAAAGAATAAGGAAGGGCTAGTCAGTCTTTCAAAAGAGATTAAGAATGCCTGCTGTCTACAGACACAACTTCTTATTTTCATGTTCCTTCTCACATCTGATTTACCTAATATTTTCCTACTTTATTTAACTAAATAAAAGGCCAATGGGGACTTCACAAGAAATCAATGTAAGTTAACTATAGAGCAAATATCATGTTAAAAATCACTGTATAGTGATTCATTTATCCCAAATTACTAAAGCAAATTTATGAAAAGTGAATTTCCACATAAATGAAATATAAACTCCCTTTAAACACTGTAATTTCTCCAAAGAGATGGGGGAATTTTGAAATTAAATTTTTACAGATTATATTAAAATAATTGTCCTTGAGGAGTCTGATAATTATATGAAAAAATGTTTTACTCTATTATAACATTATGGTGGTATCAGGGGCTACTGAAGTACTAAGAATTATTCTTCCCTATCACTTAATGATTCCAGATAGTAATAATTTTTTATCCATATACCAACTACTAATATTAGCCATGGCCATGTCTAATTGGCTGCTATATTCTAGAATCTCTAATCTCAGGGATCTGCCTGAATCCAGGTTCTTATTTTCTACAACAGAAATACCTGGGAATAATTTTTCTTTAAACAGAACATCTCTTCCCCACCTTCAATAAGATCTTGATAGTCTCTTCTTAGGGGAACGTGACCAAGGTCGTGGCTGAGAACCAGAACCATATGTGGCCATATTTCACTCCATTGTTTTAGGACAAAAAGAAAATTGAGAGTCCTTGTAGGTTCTATTCCAAAACTTTAGGAAACAGAAACATGACACTTTCCACATTTCTCCTGCTTTAGAATCACTGAGATCTGAGAAGCAGGGCATATTAAAGAGATGTGATACTTAAAGAAAAATGTACCTGGAGGAATATTTTAAGAATACAGATATTAAGAAGCACATGGTGCCACAAGAGGCTTTTTATATGGCTATAGGGCCAATGGGAAAGTGTAGTTTAAAACCACTGATGCAAAATCTTAGCTGTCACTATAACCAAATAAAGAACCTACCATGAGACCACTGAACCCAGCAGAAATTAAGACACCCAAACAAAAGTGCAAAAGGTAAGTGCAAGAGCTACGGTACATACTTTCTGAAAAAATGAGGACTTAAATAAATCAAGAGCCACAGTTTTCTTGACCAGCCATTCAGTAATATAAGGCAAAAATGATTGTTCAATTATAAATAGACACAGGGGAATAAAAGATGGAAGGGTAATAACAACAACTAAGGCAGAAAACACGGCATATTAGTAAATGAGCAGAGGATGTTAAGGAGACCCCGTAGCTAACAAGTGCCCACAAGCATTATTCCTCTCCCAGAACCAGAGGACTAACTCAGGGAGGACAAGCATGAAAACCAGTGAGTAGGCAACTCAAAAGCAAACTAGAACCAAGACTATAACATTCTCTCTAGCTACTGAAAGCCAAAGACTTTTCATGAAGACAGATTTGTGACAAAACGAGAATAAATGTGTTGCACACACTAGAACTGTTATATAATGTGCCTGTTAACTGTGTACTAAAACCTCTCTACGGGTTACTGAAAATATTGCTTTAATTAACCACAACCAATTCCTTGGTTTTTAAATTCAGGGGTTAAAGAACCATTGGATGTGAAAGTAACGTAGAAATTTCTAAAATAGAGCCAACCATACACCTGATGAAAACTGGTTTCAATAGACCCAATCGTCCATTTTATGATGATGTGCTTCAACTACTTTAAGTTAAGATTGTCACAGCACAAGCAATTGATGCATACTCCACTCTTGTTCCTCACCAGGAAACACCCCTTATTTTGGTATTTCTAGCGCACCCTAAATCTTATATACATGCTCACTGACATTTATTTTTTTTTCTTTCCTCCATTCTTTTTTACTTTTACTTCTTGCTTCTCGGGTGTGACCTGAGTAGCTTAAATGAAGAGACTAGTGAGAAATTTTGTCTCCTTTAACATTGCTATAGTCTGGAAAAAAATCATTCTTCAATTAACATTAAATAAAATATAAAGTCCTAGTTGTTGCATTTGTATTCAAAGAACAAGTATGTTCATTAATCTGAGATCAAACCTATAAAGTTATTTCAAAAATGTTTTTAACAGTATTATAATTAGAGTAAATGTTCACATAAAATTGTTTTTTTCTTTAAAAAAGTTCACATGGCTCTGTAATAAGAATACCAAACTTAAGCAATGTGTCCAGAGTATACTAATCAAAATTATATGCATACTTATGCTGAATAGAAATGAAATCAATGTAAGTTATCAAAGAAAAAAGGCAAAAATGTTTAAATGAAAATTGAAACTGCAAAAAAAAAAGTGTAGTCTTTTATGTTCTCAGTATTTACATCCAAAGAAAAGAAGTTCCATTTGGCTTCAGGAAGGGAAAAATCACTTCTGGACACAGCACCAGGTGCATTCTAAATTGTCAGTTGCATATAAAGACTGATATTACTGCAATTAATAAAGCTTACAAAATGTTTAAAGCTTTACAAGAGAAAATAGCAAGGCACAATTACTTACTCTGTTGCAAGTCTAAAAATGGAAAGTGTTAAAGTTCATCAGCATAATAAATGTGTACACTCAACTTACTGGTAATATTGTCTTTAGTCCAGAACGGAGGAACTCATTCCTTAAATGTATTCGAAAATCAAGCTCATAAGGAAAAGTGACAAGGGCATTTATAAACTGCATGCAAGCCACCTGCAATTAGAAAGCAAACCTTATTTTAATGTTTTTAATTAAATAAATAATGCATTCAGACCATTATTTTTCCATTTACTAAAGGCATACCTACATATAAAAATAAGAAAAATGCAAATATTTATAAAAGTTTAAGGATGATTATTATTTTAAAGTATAAGCAACAAAATGAATAAAATTTCTAATGTGCAGAATAATTCTAATGAAGATATGATGGATGGTCAAGTACTTCTATGCTTTGCTGACCAATATGAATAAATATTAAACTCTCTCTTGAGAAACTCAAAGTTCTAAAAGTATGTATAGAAAGCACTTTAGAAAGATCATGAAATGTATCTTGCATATCCAGGTATCCTCAGGTAAACTAGCCTCAATCCTATATGGTTATAAATACTTTTCCAAAATAAATTTAAAAAAAGTTATAAAAGTTCCATAATATTAAACGGGCAACAGTGATAAATTAGAGAAATAATTACACTGATTTATATTCTCTCTATTCTATTATTGGAATGGATTTGCACAAAATTCAGAGTATTAAAATGTATGATTAAGATGAATTAATTTGTTATGTGTAGAAGTGAATTAAGATCAACTAGAAGGTACTGTGATGCCAATACTAATGTGCATGCCTGATAAAGTAAATATAGGGGCTTCTTTTCCAGTGAAGGTGATTCATTAATTATATTGACACTGGAAAATGGGTTTTGCTTTTCTTACCTTCTGATATTGAGGCTCTCTACTATAAAAGGGGAATTATTTTCTGGTAATTGCAAGCTAAAAGGGAATTAACAAAATGCTAATTGCCAGGTGTTCCATACATTATTCCTGAATAGCATTTTTTTTTAAATGCTGCTCAAGTCTAAGGCAACTGGCTAATAGTTTAAGTCAGTGGTTCTCAACCTTCCTAACGCCGCAACCCTTTAATAAAGTTCCTCATGTTGTGGTGACCCCCAATTTCATTGTTACAAATTGAACATAATTAAAGCAAAGTGATTAATCACAAAAACAATATGTAATTATATATGTGTTTTCCGATGGTCTTAGGCGACCCCTGTGAAAGGATCATTCGACCCTCAAAGGGGTCGCGACCCACAGGTTGAAAACTGCTGGTTTAAGTGAAGACCACACATTTAAATCGATTATTTTTAAAGTATGCAATGAGTGGTGGAGTGAGTGCTCAAAGAGCTGACTGCAAGGGGACTCCTGGAAAATACCAGATTTAGTAAAGATGCCAAGTATTTATAGAAGGGAGCACCCATAAATCAATAGTTAGTATGGGCTCTACTCTATCTGCATAGTATACCCAAGACCCTGGGGACTCTTCTGGGTGGCAGGCTGATGTCTGTCTTCTCCCCTCTTTGATTCCCCACCTACAAACCGAGCTGTCCCTGAATATACCAGCTCCTGGATGTCCCACAGGGATGCCAGACTGACCAGGTAACCCCCCTAAATCCTCAAGCCATCTTTCCTTCTCAGGGGGAGAACCAAGCTCCTGCGGCTGCCAAGATGAAATAAGCATAGAGTCTAGGGGTTGGCAAACTACAGACCACAGGCCAGCCGCAGCCCATAGTTCTAATGTGGCGAGCTGCCTGCTTGTGCCAATAAAGTTTTATTGAATCACAAACATCATATAAAAATAACAAAAAAACCTGTATTTCAAATGTATTTTGATTTCACCTGTCTAGACCTATTATTATGATAATTACTTTTTCAAATAGAAAGAAAAGATTAAAAGGTATATTGTACCCTGGCCGGTGTGGCTCAGTTGGTTGGTGTGTTGTCTGGTACACCAAAAGGTGGTGGGCTAGATTCCCGGTCAGGGCATGTACTCAGGTGGTGGGTTCAATCCCTGCTCCGGACGCATTTGGCATGTTTCTCTCTCTTTCTCTCTCTCTCTACATCGCCTTCCCTCTCTCTAAGATCAATTTTTTAAAAGGTATACTGCTTTTATTTTTATATTTATATCATGTATTTAAGATGTTTCTTTGGGAGATTAGCCCATTTACCACATATCCAGATTCAAAAATCAAAAGTTGCATGCTTTACAGGTGATGATGGGTTGTTTCTAACATTACTATATAGCTAAATAAAAATTGAAAAATATAGTCTAATTCCTACAAGTGCTCAAATGTCAAACGAAAACACTTATACAATTGACTAAATATTTGCCATATAAGTAGCATTACTTTAAAAGATCTATCAGAAAAATTAAGCTTATGCCTTAACAGATTACATAACCCTCATGTTGACAATAAGAAAACGTTGACATCTTCATAGTTATGAGACTGCATATTCTACACAACCATCGCTACATTATCTATTTGTGTGATATAAGTCTGCATATTCTACATGACCATCACTACATTATTGTATTTGCTTGAATGATCCTTGTTATGTTACAAATATGACATGACTGAACAAGCCAAAGTACATGTCCAATCCAAAATTAATAGAGAGAAAAGTTGCCATCTGCTAGGATTGTTTTTGCCAGAAGAAATTCAAGCTTAATGGCTTGTATTAATACCCTACAAGTAAAGAGAGCATTTCCATAAGAAACAGCTTAATGATTCTTAGAATTGTACCTTTATACAAAAAAAAGTATTTAGATCAGGAGATGATAAACATAGTAAAAGTTAATGAAATTAATGAATGTATCAATTACAAAATAACTTCAAATTTAATAAATGTTGCAATGCTATTAAACACTTTAATAGCATTAAGAATATATATTATTATAAATATATAACTAAATAAAAAAGAAGTTGCATTTATTGACTATAGTATAAACAAGTATAAGACAATGAATTCAGTAACTAAACAGGTTAACAGCAATGGTTTACCAAATGTACTGTTTATTGTTTATCAAATTCTAATAGATAGCTAAATAATTACAAATAACATATGATAAATAGTCATACTGTCATGTCACTTTACAATACAATCTGCTAGAGCAACGCTCTTTCAGAGAAATATTTATATTGTAAAAAAGTGGAGAATAATAGTCATCTTAATAGTCTCTATTCCTTTATACTACTACACAATTATTGCCCTTTTCACAGGACGAGAAGAAAATTAGAATAATTATCACAATTTATAATTACAAAATTAAACTTAAAAATTGTAATCAGATAGCCCGGCTGCTGTGGCTCAGTGATTGAGCATTGACCTATAAACCAGGTCATGGTTTGATTCCTGGTCAGGGCACATGCCCAGGTTGTGGGCTCCATTCCCAGTGGGGGGTGTGCAGGAGGCAGCCTATCAATGATTCTCTCTCATCATTTTTTTTGTTATCTCTCTCCTCATTGATATTTCTATCTTTCTCTCCCCCCCTTCCCTCTGAAATCAATCAAAACATATTTTTAAAAAAATGTAATTAGATAAACTTTAAAATGTAATTAGAAAATATTATAAACATGAAATACTCATTGTGTGGATTCTGAATTTAAAGATAAATACAAAACCCCAAACTATTATAATTATTATTTATATCATTATTATTAGTTGCCAGACAATATTAGGTGCTTTATATAACTCACCATCTAATTTAATCCTTATAAAAATCATACAAAATAAGTGTTGCTATTACCCTTATTCCACAGATGATGAAAGTGAAGCTCAAAGCAGATAAATAACTTACACAAGGTCATACAGCAAGAAGGAAATTCATGATTCCAAACCGTATCACTTCACTACAAATACAGAATAACTTCCAGCACATACAAGATGCCTCATAAACTCCATTCATAGATTCATACAACAAAATATTTTAAGGATAGGTAAGAGAATAAAATTTAACTAGTGCATCATGTTTAATGCACTGAGAATATCTAGCTTTGGAATTATAGGTTAATTAGAAAAACATACAATTATTTTAACAAGCTATTATTTAGTACGTAAAATGGTTATCTTATGTGTCTAATATAACTCAATAAAAATTAAATAGTTATAATATATAATGGAATGCAAAATTTTAAGGTAGAAAATGGCTCCTGAAATATGTTACATTCCGCTTTCTATATATATCTTAAACAGTGAAGTATGGGCAGCATCCCATCATTCCAAATAATGATTTTGCACTCTCCTTTACTTACTGCCACCTCACTCCTTACTTAGCACACATGTGCATGCAAACACACACACACACACACACACACACACACATACACACACACACACACATTTTCTCCATTATTAACATATATGCTAGGCTAGGACCACAATTCTGATTTTAAACCAGTAAGAACAAGGAGCTTGTGTATTTCCATTTTTACTCAGTAGCTAGAGGCCCAGTGCACGAAATTCAAGCACTGGAGGTGGGTGGGAGTCCCTCAGTCCGGCCTGGGCCCTCTCACAGTCCAGGACATCCTGAGCACTCTGCAAACATCCCTCTCACAGTCTGGGATCCCTCACTCCTTACCGCCTGCCTGCTCACTGCTCCTTACTGCTCGGCTCGCTGCTCCTTAGAGCTGCCACGGATGCAGGAGAGGCTCCCGCCACCGGCGAAGGCAGCCATGAGCCTGGCTTCTGGCTGAGCAGTGCTCCCCCTGTGGGAGCACACTGACAACCAGGGGGCAGCTCCTGCATTAAGCATCTGCCCCCTGGTCGTCAGTGCTCATCATAACGACCAGTCATTCTGATCGTTCCACCGTAATGGTCGCTTAGGCTTTTATTATATAGATCTCCTTGCATCATAAGGAGATTTCTATATGATATCTATATTAGCTATTGAATGAATGCATAAGCATATATAGATAAAAAGCGCCAACTTTGTGGATGAGATAAAACATCCAATAATTTGTGCCACAAAGAATTATATACTAAACTTTATTCCTATCAGTTCTTCTACCAGTTATGATCCTGCCATTTCTCTAATAGTATATTATCTTTCTACAATAATTACCTGCATTCTTTAACCACAGGATGCTATTATTTTCATCCTAGGGCAGTGATGGCGAACCTTTTGAGCTCGGCATGTCAGCATTTTGAAAAACCCTAACTTA